GGGCAGCTCCCGGCCGCAGACCCGAGTCGCTGCGAGCACCGACCTCGTTCTGCCGCCGTGCCAAGGGCGGGCTGCAAGCCTTGGCGCCAGGCGTGGCAGTGCCAGGACCACCAGGGGACTCTCTGCCAGCTGCGCCGCTCTCCCCGGCTGGGGGGGGCAGGTCCGGCGCACGGGCGTCCTCTCGGCCGTTCTTCTCCTGCACCCTTCATGGGTTTTCCTACCCTACTTCTACAGTCAAACCCCTCTCCTGGGCTAAGGGAAATGCCACCCTCGTAGCTGTGCTTTGCACTTCGTGCAGGTTCTTATCCTGTGCCTTGTTTATCCCACACCTGACTCCAGCTTTTTTCCACTTTCTCTTTCATAAAGTACGTCTTAATTAGGTAGACTGTAAGGAAAAACTGCAGAGGTCATTGCAGACTGAGTCTCCATGCCGTTGCGTGAGGGAGTTTGTTTCTGGAATAGGAATCTGTTCCTCCCAGGGTGGAGGTGTCTGTGCCAGCAGAGCCATATTGCTGGGTCGGCTCTTGGGCTAAATAATAGACCTGGAGCATCTACTTTACTCGATTGTCTTCCCAAGCAGAAGCTTTTACATTCAAAAGCCACACTGTGATCTCCATTACAAATACCCTGACAGGCCTGTAAATATTTGACAGGTTTATTCACAGCTGCTTGCATGTGGAAAATATTTTTATGATTTTTCCCCCAATCAGCTGGTGGAGATGGCTCTTCCCTCCGCTGCTGCACGCCAGCAGTCTCACAGACATCCTCGCAGAGCTGCGGGGTAAGAGCAATATGCCAAGTTCTGCAGTCAGGTTTTTCCCTGCAGGGCATTTCTCTCTGTTGTTACTGATATTACTGCTATTATCCAATGCACCCTCAGGGGTCCGCGTGTCTTGCCATCTTTAGACAGATGATCTGTTTTGATGGTGGAGTTCCTGGCTGCTCTCCCAAGAGCAGCAACTGTAGAAATTCTGTAAACCTGAATCCATTCACAAAGCTTCATAAAACAAAGTCGGCAGAGGTTACGGATACACGGAGGATCTGAAAGGCTTCCAGAGCAAAATCTCACTGTTCGGCTGCTCCGGCTGCGGCAGTTAATGCTCCTGCAGTTCAGACACTGACAAGGTGCTCACGTTTTTATTTATGGTGACAGTTTTTTCCCCTGGATATGACCTGGCAGGCTGCTAATTTTTTCCTAATACTTTTAATTTGGGTGTGTGAAATCTGAGAAGACTCAGCTTCATAATAGCCGTGTAAAGTCGACACGTGGTGTCCCCACTAACGCAGCGATTCCGTGCGGACGGTGGGGTTGGGGCAGTCCGAGGCCGGGCAGGGAGGCTGGGAACACAAAGGCAGCAGCACCTGCAGCGTGTCGGGTGAGTCTCGACCCGTGTGAAGTATTTTAAGAACGCTTGGCAGGAGATGCGGGGCCGAGGTTAATACGTTGCCGTTCTTTGTGTTATTTCTGAATTGGTTATCGCTACCGATTCAGTGGGTCGGTGCCAGCACCTCTTGACCTATAGCACGGCACTCAAAACCCAGGGTGGAGCGCTGCCTGGTGCAGAGGCGAGAGCCTCGTCACCCGCGTTGGGAGGAGGCAGCCCCGCGCACCCCGCGGTGGGAAACGGCTCGCAGAAGGCAGCTTCTCCGCATCCTAGAGCAGGGCTTCGTTAGGGGCAGCACTAACGACCTCCCTGCAGAGCAGGGTTCCTCTCCCCCAGCTGCCAGCAGTGACCCCTCTGCGCTGCTTGGAGCCACCCCTGGGGTCGTCCGCTGCCCTGCTGTGGTCCCGCTGTGCCGCAGCTTGGGTCCCGGCACGGTGTGCCGGGGTCACCGCCTGCTGCAGGGACAGGGCCGGCTGCGTGACTGGCAGCGGCTGCCAGGCCTGAACGGGCATCTCACTGCTTTCCATCGGTGGAAGAGGGTCCCGGTTCGCTCTGGACTGTGGGGCAGCAGTGCCACTGCCATCCTCCTGCTTTGCTTTCAGGCGCCGCCATGCCACAGTGCTTCAAGATGCTTTTATGTGCACCAAAAAGTTTGACATATCTCAGTGTATCTTTGAAGTACTGCAGCGAGAGGGTTTGACATGATACATTATGATAATCCATGGTATAGAGACATTAACACAGGGGTCTTTGACAAAATACATGGTAATGTCTCTGAAGGAGCCATTACAATTTATCTTGTCATTCTGGAGCATAGAGTGGTTGCAATGTTAAGATGGCTCTGCATAAATTCGCATGTAGACTGTTTCATTTGATTTTTGGAATCCTTTCAAGTCGAATGGCACAGCCCAAGTTTAGGTTAACCCTTCACTGTCCCCCTTCCCCAAATAAAAGTCCCCGGCCGTGTGTCGGGAGGCTGTGTTGGGAGCAGCGAGGGGCGGGCATCGCCCTCACCCACTCCCCTTGGGCAGGGTGGAAAGCTTGTGTGCCAGACGTCTGCGAAATGTGACTCTCCTGCTTTACGCTCTGAACATGCGTTTGACTCATTCCACAGCAAATGCTAACCTTACTTTGGTGCAGACGTGAAAGACATTTATCGTAAGCAGCGGCCTTGGTTACTGAATTAACAGCAAAGGGAGCGCTTTCAGCCAGCCAGCAAAGCGCTCCGCGCTCAGGTGGGGTTTTGCTTCTCTCTCGCCCATGATTGTCCTGCTTGTGGCCTCCACCCCGACAGTTTTCCTTGCTGAAGCAAGCAGCAAGCACATCTGCAGCTCGAAATCGCCCTGTTAAAAGGCAGCCTGCTTCTGCATCAGCCCTATGGTCCGAGACGAGTGCCAGGGTCTTCCTCCCCTCAGAGCCATGGCCTCTCCTGGCAAACTGTCCCCTTGTCGTCGCGGCCCAAACGTGGCACCTTGCCGTAGCTTCCCTGCGAGCTGGGGTCCCAGATTGGGGTGGGAGTGTGCGTTCCCAGAGGGAAAGGTTGGTGCGGGAAGTGTTAGTGTGGAGGCTGCTCCAACTGGGCAAGTCTCAAACGGAATTAATTAAAATCTGTTTTAAAATCTGACAAGTTCTTACCCTCCTTTGCTATATCTTTAAGACCTGTGCTAAAATTCCATCATCTCATCTTCCCATTATTAAAATTTCAGCAAAATATAAAGTTTCCATTAATCTCCTGCAGCAAATTTAGTACTCTGAACTGGCAGTGGATTCAGCTTTTAGGACTGCATTAGCTGGGATATTAAACAAAACGTGTCATTCTTCAGTATGTTCTGTAAGAAGCTAAATCAGTTTGCAAACATATTTATACGACTTTATCTAACAGCATCTGAATGATCATTTAGAGCTGAGATGCTTTATTAGCAGCTGGCATAGAAATTACTCTGCATGAAATTATATATCGCATTATAGTAATGTTTAAATTGGTGTTAATCCAATGTCATAAAATGTAAAAAAATCTTTAAAGTGCGTTACATTTTTTCAGTAATTGGCGTTTTGGCTTAATGAGATGTTACCTTTTATAAAGCCGGTACCTGCAGCAGTAATGAGAATACTGATCAGTAAATAAAGCGCAGCCTCGGTACCGCAGGGCTGAGACCCGGCTGCCCGAGGGGTTGTCGGCGTCACCTCCCGCGCGGGGGGACGCTGAGGCACGGGAGAGCTGTGCTAGTGCCTGCGTCGAGGGCGGCACCTGACGACGCTGCCCTGGCTGGGGACAGGCCCATTCGCCGGGGTCCCGGTGGGGGTCCCACCAGTCGGCCCCCGGGGATCTCTGTGGTCCAGGGGTGTCTCACGTGGCGTGAGAACCTGCCGCTGGGATGTTGCAGGTCTCTTCACGTGGGTGCAAACGGGTGTCATCATGTCCGTGATGAACTGGTGATTTTGTCTTCGGACGGAGGGTGAGGATTTCCTCCTCCCAGAGACACGGGCTTGAGCATTTTGTTCTTTCGGGAAAAGCCGTCTGCAGCCGTCCTGACGTGCTGGCTGAATGGTATGCCGTGCTGGAAACCTCTCGTTCATTCTTGTTGGCTTGTTTTGCAGGTTCAAGAGGAGAAGAGGTCTCGGAGGAGGACCCTCAGATCGATATAGCTACCGTGCAGGACATGCTCAGTAGCCACCATTACAAGTCCTTCAAAGTCAGCATGATCCATAGGCTTCGATTCACCACTGATGTTCAGTTAGGTAAATCAATCCGTACTGTAACGCTTAGGAAAATGGAGCGGTTCAAACCTTTGGCCATCTCTAATAGCTGACTGTCCGTCTCAGACGTTTTTAAAGCAGTCATTATCGTGTTGGTCCATTCTGTTGTGGAGCACATCACTGGAAAGCGTTGCTAGCATTTCAGCAGTTAAAAAAATCGCTTTCGGTTGAAAATACTTCAGTATTTTTATTATCCACAATCAGCTAGCACATGTTTCTTCTGAAAGAAGGCCATTACTTAGTGACCTCATCTCATTTTTTTAATCTAGGCTTCCTAACGGAAAGCTTCTTGCCAACTGTTTTGTTATTTTTAAATGAGGCTCTGCAAAGTTAGGAATGATTAGGTTTTTCCTTTTCTGAGACTGAAAGATTTTAATGATCAAGTGGAAATTTGAGGTGGAACAAAATAAAACTAGTATTCTCTAAAGGTTTTGTATTATCCTTGTTAGCCTTCTGAATGCTTTTGAAAACCTGAAGGCCAAGGGATGACAGAATCTTGAATTATAAAAGCCCCATTACTGTTTTAAAATGATTGAATGGCTTTTTATCTTTGTGTTTAAATTGTGAAAATTTGATTAATGATGCATTGGTAGGTGACCTGTGACATTCCTGCAAATACCTTCCATAAAGAAATGATTCGGCAGTAAAATATTAAGTGCCATAATGTTTACAAAATACATTTATTCTGTAGAATTCCGTAGAATTGCTAAATTTAAACTATATGAGTTCCTGTATTACTGTCACTACAGTCTCCTCATTCTTCCATCCTTAAGCGCGTATAAAAGTATCCGTGTCTCAGGTTTTTACAGAAGAGGCTTTCGTAGTTTATTTTGAACTGTCTTGTTAAGGAAGGATTTATACGCTGGTGCTGAAGCAGGACAGCGCCGGGCACGATTTCTGCTTTTGAGCGAACTATCTGGGTGTGATAGTTTGCTTCCAGTGAAGTTTGACTCACTGTATCTGGAAAGTGTCAGGAATGAGAGCTTGAAAAGGTCATGACAGATCACTAAAGATAAATGGTTAAGGGAGAATAGCTGTTAAATGAAACAAATGGCTTAACTTGTGTAGCGGTGAAGGAGCTGACCCTGTCCAGCAGTGTAAGGACCATAAAATTTCCCTTTTATAACTATCTGTGAACTTGTATATTTTTGATGGCAGTCAACTGACAGTGTGATTTCTATAATCTAATTATTTTTTTAAAATCAAAGAAAACCCCAGTGGTGTGTTCAAAGTTTGGGGAAATGCACAGCATTGCACTATGAATAAAGACAAAATAAGTGTATGTTGCTGCGGTTTCTCCTGGATTTTTTTAAGCTATCGAAGGAGCAATGTTGGTAAAGTAAGCATTGAGGTGGTATTTGGGTGAGGGCTGCTGAGCGCTAATGTGCGCGTCTTCTGCGAGGGACAGACTGCTCGGTACGGTCTGAAATGTAAAATCCACGTCTTGTTTTTCCCATCGCTTACCCACAGCTGTGGTTTGGGAGCTATTCTGTGTCGGTCTAACAATGGCCGGTTGCAAAGACTTTCCTCTGAGCGTTTGGATGTCGTCAGTTTGATGTAGCAGCCGTCGCAGAGCGGCAGTTTCGCTAGAGGACACGGGGAATCCCGAACCGTTCCTCCGTGGCAGGGTGGGCGATGCGGGAGCCGTGCAGGAGCGCCTGGGCTGCCAGGGCAGCCCAAATACGGCGGAGGGATGGCGCTGAAATTCCCGTGTGGTTTGGGGGGCGAGTCCCAGTTTCCAGGCTCGATGGGGAAGGATGTGGACGTGTGGCAGAACCCAGCAGTGGTGCAGAACATCCCCGCTCCCTGCAGCTCGCTCCGCCACCGTAAGATGTGCCCACGCCAGCGAATTTGGGCGGGTGCTGTGCGGGGTCTGCACGGTGGCATAGAACAGGCAGCGATGGTGTGAGCTGGGCTTGTGGATTGCTGTCTGCTGCGGGTGCTTTCTGAAACGTGTTAGCTGGTTTGGGGCCCGATCATTGAATTTGAGGCAAGGTTTATGGAAAGTAGTGGAATAAGCTCGATCTTCTGTACTCTACAGTAAAAAGCGGAACGTAAATGACCATGGGAGGAATGACCGACTTGTGACGGATGGTTTTATTACAGTGAAAGCTTTAGCTGTAGCAGTTTAAGGTCTGGGGTTTTATGTTTTAGCTCGTATGGCAGTGCAATAATGCACATACAGTAGTACTCTCAACATTTTCAAAGGTTCTATCATGTTGTGAAGGAGTAAGACACATTTGCTTGTATGTCACATTAGCAAAACTAAAAGCAGCATATTGTCTTGGAAAATTACTGCTGGCAAGTGTTTCAGAAAAGGGGGGGCAGTTGCAGACCCCAACAAAGGAAGCAAGAACTGAACAGTGTTACTGGACTAATACATCGATGACATTTCTTTCAATAAAATGAATGAATTACAAAAATAGTAGAAGCCGCATTTTTACTTGTTTTTTGAGTATGACTAATTTGTGCTGCGATACAGAGGCTGCAGAAGCCCCATACATAACGCTGTTTTGATTTTAGGTTTCAACACATACAGATTGTGAGAACAATAACACAAAAAAGACAACATTCTTTGTCAATGTGCTCTCTGGATGTGTGTAAGCTTAAGCCAGTGATGTCGAGATACAGAAATAATGGATGAAGTATACAGCAACAATTTGCAGATAAAAATAATAGAAGTTAAAGTGTATTTTACATGATAAAAAAAAGATGAAAGAGGAGGAAGTCTGTTACATCTGAGATGGTTACAAAATCCATGCTTGGTGAAGTAGCCTCTGCTGAAAAGATTGATGCAATGGGGAGTGACCTTGGCTTGGAGCAGGAGCTGGTGATGTATGTATGAGCATCTCTCTGCTAAATGGACCCAGATTTGTAGCACTAATATACATGGAAGCCCAGAACCAAACTCAGGATGGCAATAAATCAACAGCCACTTTGGGTGTCATTTCTGGTTTATATTCCACTATTGTTCTATCACTTTAATTCATGTCACTATCATCTGTTCATCTGGAACAGTTTTATATAATTTTCCAGTGGAGTTACCTGACAAATCCTATCAAATTAACAAGGTGCATTAACAATATTGACTGACTGTGAATTCTGAAGTTGCAGGACCATACAGTGAAATTTTTTTAAGGATATTTTCAGGGGCGACGCTTTCAGAGGAAGGGATGGGGAGCAACCCTCACACACAAAGAATTTGCACCTTTATTTTTAGAACTTGCCTTGACTTTTTTCAGTGAGAAAATAAGAACTTGTACCATCAACTTTACATATTTTCCTTGAACAACAGAAAATGCCATTTTGAATAATTAACCATTACAGTGAAATAACCACGCCGATTTTAAATAATCTGTCCAAAATTAAATTACGGAACAAAATGGGCTCCAGATACAGCATCAGCCTGCTCAAATTACCTAGTTGTAGCAGTCCTTGTGTTAATTGGACTCTTGATACAAGGCTTAATTGAAATGTGATCTCTCTGATGTGACGTATGTTTAATGACAAAGCGCATTCCTGGACTAATAGAGGGGGGAGGGGGTTGGTGGCGTTATTATAACCTATCCTAACAGCCAGGGGTAAGGTGGAGGTGACCTCGTGTTCGTGGGAAAGGCTGCAGCAAGAAGCCCGCTGTGGGGTCTGCTCCTGCTGGCTGCAGGCTTTGATTTTAGAGTTGCATGAAATACAGACGAGCGCGGTTTGCAAGTTCTGCAGCTGTGACCAGACTGTAAGAAATACTGAGTTAATTTTGGAGGGCTTGGGAGAGTCGATGTGTGACTTTTGTTGCATCACACCTCGTAGAAGTTTTATCATCGGCTCCTTTAGGTTTTCTTGTGCATCAGACGAGCCAAGTGTAATGCGTTTGAAAGCCTCATAGACAAAACCCTCAAGAGGGAGAAGGTTCTCTCTGCTGTTTTTCCAGAAATGCAGGAGTTAAATGAAGTTTAGATACTTCTTTCCTGTCTTGCTTCCTTTTGTTGCTTTCTCCTGAGCTTCCCCTGTAACTCCTGACTGACGAAACGTAATTATTTTTAAGGCTCCACGTGTCTTGATGTGAAAAGGACACCGTGAAGTTTGTTCAGTTGTGTCAACAGCTACTGAACAGTGAGCTTCTGTCAGCCAGCGCGGCGTGGCAGGGCTTTTGCTTCGCCACGCTGTGACAACGGTGGCCCTACATGCCAGCCAGCCCCCTGGCCCGCTCCCAGCGCTGTTAGCCCCCGGCTGGCCCGGCAGCGTCCCGCGGGCCGGGCGGTTCGTGCCCGACTTGGGCAGAGGAGCGTTCCCCCCTCACTCACAACAGGCCCGCTGTGGGATCGGCGGGCGGCAGCGCCGTGCCCATGTCAAAGGCGCCGGCCGTCTGGGGTGCCCCGCCGGGAGCTGCACGAGTCCTCAGCCTGCTGTCAGAGCAGCCTGGTTAGAGCTGCCTTTGAAGTGCCATCGGTGTGAAAACGCACGGGATCCCTGGGACTGGATGTCTTTGTTTGTGAGGATCTGGGTGACACAAAGAGCATTTCTGTAATGCTGCGAGTGGGTGTTGTCCTCTGGCGGAGGGGATGTGGCGTGTGCGCCGCGCGGGAGATAGAGCAGGGTCAGTGTGGGGTAGTGTCTGTGCCACATAATATGGTGAAGGAGAAGCTAGCAGCATCTTTCTATAAATCTCGCAGCTCATGTAGCTGCTGCTTCCAGAAGAGCTCTGTATGTGTTGAGAAGAATTTTTTTCTGTGGTATTTCTTTCTTGTTGGTACACTTATGCGGGAGAGTAAAATGCAGATTACCAATGCAGCTTGATAACCGTTTGCTTTTGGTTTCAAAAGCTCCCATGCTTTCACCAAGCCCAAAAGGGCAATATACTTTCATCCCATTTAAGATTTATAAAGTGTGTCAAACGGCTGATATGGAATCGCTTAAACAGATCACTGTTGTGGCTCTCTATTCTTTCTCATCTCAGGTATTTCTGGAGACAAGGTAGAGATAGACCCTGTTACTAATCAGAAGGCCAGCACTAAGTTTTGGATTAAGCAGAAACCCATTTCAATCGATTCTGAACTCCTCTGTGCCTGTGACCTTGCGGAAGAAAAAAGCCCAAGTGAGTAGTCCTTTTTATTTATGTTCTCTCTTCTCTCCCTCCCTGTATGTGCTTGATGTCCAAAGAATTATTGCTACCGTGTCCTTTTCTTCTATAGGTGTGTTTTATTCATTATAGGATGTTTTTAATCTGACTTGGTTCTGTTATAGAGAACACAACATAAACAGATACACGTTTTATGAGCGTCCTTTTAATGCTGCTTACAGCTAATGGCATCGTTAAGAGTGTTTCTTGCCCACTATCAGGAGCTGCTAACAGTGTCATGCCAAGGAAGCACCGGCTGCGCATAGCACAGTAGTCAAAGAGATGTTTCAACATAATTGCAGTGTTTTTGAACTTCTTAGCGTCCAGACTGGTTTTAAACAGTTTCTTAGGTGCAATTGAGGATCTCAGACATACACTAAGTATCAGCACAGTCTAAATTTGCTTCAGCCCTGGCTGCAGGTCACCTGGATTAGGACGTGCCGCTCTGAGAGCTCAGTTTCAGGAAAGCAGTGACTGTGCCTGGCCAGCAGCATAGCTAAGCTAGCTGGAGGACGGGCCAGACATCCCAGTTCAGCCAGTCATCAGCAAGACATCAGAGTTCGCTATGTTTAGGGTGCGACTTCAAAAGCCCAGTGCTTTTGCTTGTTGTTTCAGGGAGTAATGAGAGTCTATATCTGTCCAATTTGTTTTAAAAAGCACCAGGCAGACCCTGAGGGAATTGGGCAATGTCTCCCGGTGGTGCCCAAATGTAACTGTCTGCTATCAAAAGTAACTGCGGTTCAAAAGCTCAGAAGGATTTTATTACACTTGTGCTTTTGCAGGGTAGGGATGCTAAGTATTAGGTACTTATCTGCAAGGTGACAGAGAGGGAGAATTATGTGATACATATTTACAGAGGTAATGATCTGTTGAATTCTCTTGGAAGAGTAAATTTATGGCTGCCACGGATTTTATCAGCAATTATTGAACTATATCCTTCTCCCCTTCATTACCCCTTCCTACTTCCATGTTCCTAGTCCAGTGATTGTCTTCCTTTTCTGTCTCTCCAGCAAGGTTTCATGGTCATGGAAGGCCTGATCCCAAGGAGAGACTTCCTTAATGACCAGGCAGCCAAAATGTACAATGGTTGTGTTTATAGTTCAAGGTGCAGTTTGGCCTCTGGGTTTGTAGCCATGTTTCATTTCAAATGCAAACACTGGTGGTGGTAAAATTGTGCCCATGAAATGGGGCTGTATCTGAAAAGCCAGCGTCGAAACCCGAGGTTTCCAGCTCACACCCCTGTCAGCACAATGGTCCGAGGCCTCCAAGCTGTCCCTGAACCCCTCCAGAGCTGTGTCCTGCAGGGGATGGGGCTCTTCGGCCCCAGAGGCAGCACCTGCTGCTGTAGGAAATTGTGTTTGTACCCAAATCCTGCCAACCCGGGGGCAATAAGAGACAGAACTTCAACGCCCAAATCGAGTCCAGCAGCAGAAGGGCAGTACCTTCACATGGAGATGGTTGAATGAAGGATCGTGGTCACTTTGGAGAGGATGCTGAGGGGTTACGACAAAGGCAGCCTTTATGATACTGGGGTTTTTTATTTACTCATTTTAGCATGGCCATCGTAAACTTTTCCTGTTAAATAAGTGCTCAGCATGGTTCTAAAAGGAGAAAATAATTCCTACTGAAATCTGCTGACCTCTTCCCAGTTCACTAAAGATGTTCCAAAAGTCATTATTTTAGGCCAGTAGAAGAGACTTTTAGTGTGACATCTCAGAATGATACATTTTGGGGAACTCTTAACAGCAGATCAGTATCTCTTGAATTTTAAATGGAAAAAAGTTATTTTAGTAGCATAAAGGAATGAAACTCACTGTATTTCACAAGTTTTGTCTGTGATTTTTATCAGCATAGTGATATATGTTTGTAGCAGAGTTTACATCAAAAATTATTCCCGGATCTTCCTTGAATGAATTATTGCAAAGAAAGAGAGGCTGAGTAAAGATAAGGTCTTTGAGTTCTGCAGTATATTTTGTTTTCATGTTTTTATCTCTTGTAACACAAAGGTGCTCCATCTCGTCTTTTAGAAGTGTTCTGCCCGTGTAGCAGTGCTCGTACGGTTACACCGCCTAGGGCTGCCCGCCTTCCCCAGGCATCGGCGGGTGGGGTTGTGATGCGGCTGAGGGCTGCTTTGCTGGACGGGCTCCTTGTAGTGCTGGAGAGAGGTGAAGCGTTTGCAGGAGCCTCCAAATGCGACCTTACCTTTTAGTAAGAGCGAGGGGTGTTGGGAGTGGAGTTTGGTCGCTGTAATCAGTGTAGCTGGAGGTTTCTGCAACCATTGTTCCTCTGAATGTGGTAATTAACAGTTTAATCATAGATTGATAGAAGGTGTTGGGTTGGAAGGGACCTCTAAAGGCCATCTAGTCCAACCCCCGTATGATAAGCAGGGACTTCTCTAATGAGGTCAGGTGGCTCAGAGGCCCATCAAGCCTGACCCTGAATGTCTCCAGGGATGGGGCTTCCACTATGTCTCTGGGCAACCTGTTCCAGTGATCCACCACCCTCGTACTAAAGAACTTCTTCCTAAAGTCCAACCTAAATCTACCTTTTTCTAGCTTAAAACCATTACCCTTGTCCTATCGCTGCAAACCCTTGTGAACAGTTCTTCCCCTGCCTTCTTACAGGCCCCTTAATGTTCAGTTAGCTCTTACTGATGAAAGAGATTTCATAGTTTTGCTGGTACTGGTCTGCAGAAGTGTAAAAACAAATGGTGTTTCAACAAAGCGGAGAGCCTCGTGCTTGTTTTGTGCTAGTTTTCTCTGAAAAGACAGGTTCACGCAGCGAAGCTTTAGTGGCACTTGTGTGTCAAAGGACTCAACAACTTCAGAGACGACGTGTTGTGAGTATTTACGGATGGACTCGGAGTCGTTCTGGACGGGGCTGAAGCTTTCCTGTGCTGTGAGTTCGCAGAACTTGGAGCTGCGTTCGGAGAAAACAGCAGATGAGACCGGAAGGGTTTGGCATCTAATTTACCCTTAGCGTGGGTATTGTAGGCAAGAACGGCTGGTGATTTTTGTTTGGCCTTGTGGTAGGCCTGGGTCAGCATTTGAATTTTTATTTGGAAATTAAATCAGACTCCCTGAACTTAGACAGAGGGAAGAGGTAATGGCCCTGCTGGCTCGATCAAATGCCATTAGAACCTGAAAACACTGTGTGTAAACGGCTTGTTTAAATCAGGTTCGGTCTGATTATCACGAGAGATTCTGGATGTTTTGAATCTTGAAAGGAAGCATCCTATCATTGAGAAATAAGATTTAAGCCTTAATAAAGTAGTTGTCATTTTTATAGCTGAAAAGAGCTTTGTATCTCAATTAAGCGTACATAATACAAAGTCTTAAGGAAGCAACATAATACGTTTAATACAATTATGTCCCTTTGCAATAGTGTAATTTAAAGGAAATCTGATTCTGTTAATGTCTCTTACATTACTCGGACAAGGGAGAAACTTCAGTGTCACTGGCCGCTGCCTTTTTACAAAGTGCCCCGTGGACCGAGGGCGGCCGTGACGGACGCGCCGAGG